AGCAGGAATTATGAAGAAAACTGGCTCAGGTTATATATGAGATTGATGTTTTCCCTCCCCAGAGAATGTTCCAGGAACAATAAAGATCAAAACTAGTGTAATAATAGTGTTTTATATCTGCTTTAAGTCCTATTTTTATATTACAGCACTGTTTAGTTTGAAGCATTAACTATTCCTGAACATTTGGTTTAATTACCCAAATGATGTTGGGATTTTTCATGTCATTTCTGTCATGGGTACTGCGTTATAATACTAATGTTTTGTATGTTTGGAGATGTTTACATTTTTCTAATGCACATCATTTGTTTCAAGCTGTAAAAAAATATATATGTATATGTAAATTGATGTCATTCTTTCCTACCTTTTATTTAGGTAAAAAAAGAGAGGCTTCTGAACAGCTGAAAGAATTGGTTTCAGATTTATCTTCTCAATTTATTTCACCTCCCGCTCTAAGGACCAGGCGGAAAAACATATCTAATACACCCATTCTTGTAGATGAACTGGTAAGAAAATGCATGATTTTCTTTGTATGCTTGTTTAAACGTGCTTTTTTTTTAAAGCAGTGCTCCTGTTTAAACTAAAAAGAGCAGACATTTGTATTAACAGCCCAAAATTGCCTTGTCTCCACTTTTAGGACAGATCTGTGATAGATTACTGATGGCATATTATTGGCAGTGGCAGTTTACCTAGTAGGGGACAGGTTTTTTAAATTTGTTTCCCCTCAATTATCTAGATGTATTTATTTAAAATGTAGGTCCCTGAACCCCTAGAATGTCATCCACAGACCAGACTTAGACTATGTTTCAGAGTTGATTCTATCATCTTATTATACATAACCCTAAAATAGTTCAGAGATTGAGTATGAAATCCTTAATGAATTACCAATATTCATAGGCAAGGACAAAGACTTACAGAGATAATGCAGGTAGATTCTTGTCTTTGAGGAGCTCAGTTTTAACTGAAGAGGCAAAAACATACATAATTATTTTATAGCATGATAAGAACAATTTATACCAAAATCCCCTATAGATAGAAAACAAAGGAGACAGGCATTTCTGTCAGAGAAAACAGCAGATGCAAAGGCACAGAAGCGAGACAGTGCATGGGGCGGGGGAGGGAGTGTTTACACATTAATGAATTCTGGTGAGGAAAAAATAGTCTCCGGTAGCCTGGATTTTATGAGATGGTAAGTGCTTGATTAGGATTTGATCGGAGGCAGTGGGAACAAAGGGCAATGACAATGGAAATATTTAAAAAAAAAAAAAATGAAACTGACAAGACTTGGGGATCAATTGAATGTGAGATGAGAGATAAAGAACAGTCGTAGATGACGCAAGATTTTTACTAAAAAAATATAGGTCATTTGGAACTTTGAGTTTCAGTTCATTAACACTATTTGATTATATTCCTTGACTCAGGATAGACCTTTTTAAATTTAGATTTCAAATTTTTATGTTTTTAAAAAAGATTTCTTTTTAAATTTTTACTTCATAGGCAGATGATGCTCAATCAGAAACTGTGGGAAAGCAAAAAGTGAAAGGAACAAGGACTGAAAAATCAAAGCAAGCAAGCAAGTATGACCTTTTCTGTGCTGTAATTTTTCTCTATTTTGTTTCTTAAAATTAGGTTTGAGAAGAGTTTTAATTTGAAAGAAATTAAGCTTATTAGAAAAGGGTAATTCTTAAGGGGCATTTGTCAGCACTGGCTCCTTGTAATGGTTAGATTTCTCTTTATAACATAACAGCCCATTCATTCTCTTTAAAGAAGGGCGATGCAGTGGGAGGAGTTAGTATCGGGGAATCTTTCACAATGGGGAAGGGAGGGGCGTGGCATGTTTCACATTTTCCTAGTAAAAGTAATTATAAACCTAAAAATCCTTTGAGTATTTCATTAATAGAAAACTTCATCCATGGGGAAATTACTTCTTTTCAGATATATTTCTTACATGGTATGTTATTCATAGTGTGCTTAGGCATCATTGAATTTCATAAAACTAATCCATTTTATCTTACTTTAAATACTAATTTAATGAGACTTTGAGTGTAACAACACTATTTACACATCAGTTGGCTTTGAATGTATGTGGAAAACTACTTCATATATATTTTTTTCAGGCGAGGCAACGCTTGGTTGACCTCACAGATTGCAAGGACCTTGTCGGCTTACAATCCCTTATTTTTATTTTTTACGCCTACAGCACCTGGTCTTCCTAGGTGGTCTCCCATCCAAGTAGGAAAACTACTTCATATGAAAAAACATACATAATTGCTCATTTCTGGTGTCTAAGGATTGCCATTTTTCATAACGCCTCATGGGCCTGTTGGGCTCTGATTTCATGGACTAACTATTGGTATTTGGTCAGTCCCTGTAACCTGTAACCAAGCAGTATTTATTAATATATATGAAACATTTAAAGAAAATTGAGCAGTGATTGTTTTTGAATATCCAAACCAAAAAAGGAGATTTCTGTCATGTGGAACCTTAACTGTGCCTCTGATTAGCTTATGACTTAAAGCTACACTTCAGTTCCCTTTTATAAAATGAAAGCACTAGGAAAGGGTCATCTCTGAAGTTTCTTTTAACATATGGAGAAGCCAGTTATATTTTGTGATGTGTTTATCCTTATTTGAATTATATCTTTTTTCAGAAACATAGAAGAAGAAAGTTCTTGGTCACCTCCTCCAGTGAAAATTAAGCTGATTTCACCCTTGGCAAGCCCGGTTGCTGGAGCAAGGCACAAGCCAAGGAAAACTGCAGAAGTGACAGGAAAAGCTCTTGGAAGGAACAGAAAGAAACTGTCTTCCTTTCCAAAACAGATTCTACGCAGAAAAATGCTGTAATGTTTTTCATGTTTTTAATGCACACCTATTTGTAAAGTCATCAGACTTGTGTGGATTATTAAAATCATCTAATTTGGAAGAAAATAATTTATATAAATTGTAAATTTTTGTAAACAGAAGGTCTTCAGTAAGTAAAGCAGCTCCACATGGAGTGTGATTCTTTTAGTCGAGGCAGTTTTTTCTATTTTATATTGACTTCATACATTTATATAATATGTAAATATGGCTTATTGGAATGTTAAATAAAGTGTATACTTCACAGTAGTTTGCGTCTGTTAGATTTTTGAGAGGGAAATTTTTGTTTTAATAATTTTATATGGTAATAAGCATTGGTCCCATTTTCTTTCTCTACAGTTAAAAGTATTAGACCAATCTTTAAATGAGGATTAAACTGTTAAATTTTTTTAAGTTGCTGTTTTATAATTTATGCACTTTGCTTCTGTGATTAAGATTTCTAATTATAAAATTTGTTTTTTTGTTTGGGGGGTTGGCTGTTAACTATGTTGTAATTGAATTACGGGCATGTAATTTTGCTACTTTTTTATAGTTTAACAAATTTTGTGTATTCTACCTCAAATGAGTAATTTTCCAAGTAATGCATTGGTTAAATGTAATGTTGGCATTTCTTGTTCAGCAAGCTTAAAGGCTGTCTTTAAAGTCTCTTAATTATTCAGAGACTAATTATCCAGGTTAGATTGACCGGTTCACTGCTCACTAGCAACTTCTTAAAAGGGTTTGAGAAAGAAGGAGAACGTAAAACAAATCTGTTTTATGGATATTCAGTGCACTTTGTATGTGCCTAATATTGATAGAATGAGAAGTCTGAACAAATTTTATAGTATTATTTCTTTGAAGGAGCTTGCTACTGACTCACAGAAATCCCTTAATATTCAGGTTTTAAAACATGAGTTCTCATAGGACCTCAGGCACAGACTATTGAGGATGGGGGAAGAGTGTGAGTAGATGTAGAAAAAGGAAAACAAAAAAAAAAAACAGCTGTTCTCTGCAGTATGACTGTGCAATTAAGTGGTGATACTTGATGTAGGCTATAAAATTCATCAATAAATAAGTGTTGTAAAATAATTTATAACAGGTAATTGATAGTGTGTAATGAATGGACCATTAATAATTGATTGTCTAGAAACAAACTGCTTTTGTTTGTTAGCTAAACTTTTCATGTTTTAGTGTGAGGCATAAGCAGTGTGCTTTCTACATTATTTTTCTACCAAATAACTACGAAAAATGGGAAAATGATGAAAATGCCTACGCCAAGTACCGACAGCGTGAAAGTGGCGGTGCGCGCGCGGCCTTTCAGCCAGGTCAGTGATGGGCGCCGCGCTGCCCTGTCGCAGATGTGGCTCTGACCTTCGTTTTCTGAATTTTTTAATGATAGCTATCAAACATGTATTTAAGCTGCTTGTCATTTATGGGGTATTAAACTTATTTAAATGAACTTGTTAAATGAGTAATTTAAAGATCTAAAAATAATTCAGTAAACAATTTCATTCTTTGCGCAAGTAGCACAATAAAAAAATTGACAAGAGAAATGTACTGTCAAGTTAGTAGTTTTTTAAGCCAGTGCTGTTTGGTAAATATAGCCATGTGGTATCTATTTTTAATGAAAGTACTTTTTTCCCCTCAACAGTAGATCATAAGGAAACAAATTGCCAGTTCTGAATTAACTATTTTAAATACATTGATGTACAAATGTATTTATGTAACTTTTTACAAAAACACTGGTCATTATGTTGCTACATTTTAGGATAAAATATGGATTAGAATAATTCCAGGACCTTTAGCAATCGATTATCTATCTTTGCTTATCAATACATTAAATATTAAGATCATCCTGGACAGCTGACCCATTCAGCAAACTGCCTGCTGCGGGTCAGATGCTGCACTAGTGGCTGAGGATCTGAAGGAAAATCCTTCCTTCTCCACCAGTGTAGCAGTGTGTATCATAGTCATGCCCAGAGAAAGGTCAGGTATAGCTCTGCCTGGACCCACACATCTTGCTTGACAGCCTCCCAGAAACAGAAGCGTTTGAACTGACCACATAGGATAAGTAAGATTTGGGTAAGGGTATGCTAAACAAAACACCACAGACAGGACACGCGTTTTTGACAGTAACTGATCCTGAATGGGATACAATGTAATGATGACCTTATATGAGGTCTTTCCCACTGACACAGCCTGCTGCTTTTTCTCTCCATCCAGTACCCAGTTTCACTTTGTACTTTTAGTTGGTATCAGTTACGTCCTGTCCCTTATTCATTCATTCATCTATATTGCAGAAAACATGTCAGCAGTTAGGCAGGTACATAATTAGATAACTATGTAAAGGTCAAAGAATTAACCTGTGATCAGCGAATTAAATGTTTTGGCCAAAAAACAAAAAGCCATTTTATAGCCTAACTCATCAACAAACTGAAAGTAGCTACCCCGGGGGTTATTTTTCACTGGTCTTTAATATTGCTAGAGTAACTAACTGCAAGTTTGAACCCTTTTCCTGTTTAGAAAAAGGTGTAGCTCGCTGCCAGCATTAGTTTAACATCACACGTAGGAATGCTATGTTTTCTAGGATTTGACATTTTTAGTGACCTAGAATTACTATATTTTATAAATGGAACTATCACTACTAAAATACAGTGCTATAGATAGAATGATGTCATTTGTTTCCAAAGACGATATACCCGAGCGATGCAAAATTAATAATAAAGTATTTCGTCGCAAACTTTGGGGGTTAGGTTAGGACAAATCTGCGAGTTATCTTGGGGTAAACGCAGCCGCAAGCAGTGAAACGGGTTCAACAGTGAAGAGCGCAGAAGTGGGTACTAAAGAGTTACATGTGAGCACAACCTCTCTGCTCCCTTCTCACACAGACTGCATTTGGTTCAAGTCCACCCTAAAGCTGATTAGTGCGTACTGGAATAGCACGGAGGAAGGGATGAATTCAAGAGACGATCTGCCAGTAAATGGTCATGGATCACACCTGGCCAAACTCGTCATCCCCTAGGTTACCTGGACTCTGCCTGCTCTAACTTCATAGGCAGTCTTCCTTGTCGGATCAGAGAACCAATTTTGAGACTCATGTTAAGGAAGCAGTACATTCTCAGGAGCCTTTGAAGTCAGATGAACTGGAGTTCAAAACTTGACTTTCGCTTACACATTGTGTAAATTTGAGCAGAGTTTTAAGCTCTGAGCCTTGGTTTCCTTATGTGTAAAGTGGAGATACTGATACTTGACAGGGTCGCTGTTATAAATGATATGAAATAATGTCAGCACAGTTCCTGACAAATTTAATTGCTATTTTATTTTTTTACCATTAATCTCTTAAATGGTTTGATATATAATCCACATTTTATATAATTCCCTCTGAAAGTGTGCAATTGAGTGATTTTTAGTATATTCACTGACATGCAACCAGAATAAGTTTTTAGGACATTTTTATCACCTCAAAAAAAGGATTTGTGCCCTTTAGTTATCCTCCTTATTCCCCAGCCCTAAGCAACCATGGATCTAATTCCTGTTGCTGCATATTTCCCTGTTATGTACATTTTACATTTTACATAAATTATACAATATGTAGACTTTTGTGACTGGCTTCTTCACTTTGCATTCATGTAGCATTTATCAAAACTTCATTTCTTTGTGGCTGGATAATATTCCATTGTATGCGTACACCACATTGTTTCTCAGTGGATGTTATGAGTAACGCCGCTGTAAACGAATAATCACTGAGTTTTTGAGTGCACACGTCTTCCATCTGGTTATACACGTAGGCATAGAACTGGTTGAGGAACTGCCCGACTTGCCAAGCAGCTGCATCCTTTTCCATTTCCACCGGCAGTGCAGGAGGCTTGCAGTCTCTCCAGTCGTGGCCATTCTGGTGTGAAGTATCTTGAGGTTTTGATATGCAATGCCCCGGTGACTAATGGTGTCGAGCATCTTTTCACGTGCTTACTCTCCACTCATATATCTTGGAGAAACATCTCTTCAGATCCTTTGCTAAATTTTAAATTGAATTACCTTTTATATTGACCTGTTCTTTTTATATTCTGGATACAATTCCTTATTAGAAGACTTGCAAATTTTGTCCCATTCTACATGTTGTCTTTTTACTTTCTTGATGGTGTCCTTTGAAACACAAAAATTTTTATTACTTGCTTTTGGAGTCATATCAAAGAATCCTTTGCCCAGTCCAAAGTCATGAAGATTTACTCCTATGTCTTTTATATGTTTAGCTCTTATATTTAAGTCTTTGGTCCACTTTGGATTAATTTTTGTATATTGTTATGAGGTAAGGGTTCAAGTTTATTCTTATGCATATGACTATCAAGTTTCTCTAGGAATTCATTAGCTCTTGAGGGGTAGTTTCTCCAGGCTCCAGGATGTCAAAGCATCATAAAATATAGAAAATAAAAAGCAATATAATAATTTGCAGATGTTGAAACAAACTTACATCCCTAGGATAAATCCCATTTAGTCGTGTATAATTTTTTTTACACGTTGGATTCAGTTTGTTAATTTGCTGAGTATTCTTGCATGCATATTCATGAGATATTGATCTGTAGTTTTCTTTGTCTGGATTTGGTATCGTAATATTTGCTTCATAAAAATAAGTCGGGGAGTGTTCCCTCCGATTTTCTGAAAGTTGATGAAGAATTGCTTTCTTTAAATTGTTGGCAGAATTCAGCAGCCAAGCCATCTAGGCTTTTCTTTATGAGAAGCTTTCTTTTTTTAATTAGTTACTTCAATCTCATCACTGACTATAGATCCATCCAGATTGTCTTTTTCTGAAATCAGTTTCAGTAGCGTGTGTCCATTTCATCTGTCATCGGTGCTCAGCTATTCATAGTATTCCTTTTTAATCCTTTATTTCCTTATTCATGGTTTCTTTTAGTTCTGTGAATATTTATAATGCTTACTCACAGATTGTTGGCTGCTTTTTTCCCCAGAGTGTCAGTCATACTTTCCTGTTTCTTTGCATGCATCGTAATTTTTTTATTGGAAACTGGACATTTTAGGTAATATGCTGTAGCAAATCTAGGTATTGGTCCCCTCACCCCTCTGTAACTTATTTTTGTTTGCTTGTTTTTTGGTTTAGTGACGGCTGGATTATTTTAGTGAAGTCCATCCCTCCAGTCCCTCCTTTTGTCGTTACTCCTCGGGGAGGCCCAGCTTTGGATGTGCCCGTGCACCCTGGGGTGACGGCGGGATTTTAGTGGGGCACCTTTCCTTTCTTGACCAAACCCAAGCTTTTAACTCTACTGATCGGTGGCTGAAAGCTCTGTTTTCGACACTATCCTGGGGGCATAAATTGCTTTACAAACTCATTCAATCAAGTCCTGGTCCCTTTGAAAGGAATAGTTTGACATCGGTGTTTGACATTTTTTCTGACCCCCAATGGGTTCCTCTCAGCTATGTTATTCCCCAGTTGCTTTCCTCCTGCAAACTAGAAAACCTATAATTTAAACTTTATCTTTAAAAAAATGTTCTGTTATTGTTCAATTATAGTTAACGTATAATATTATGTTAGTTTTAGGTGTAAAACACGGTGATTAGACATTTATATAACTTAGGAAGTGATCACCCCAATAAATCTCATACCCATCTGACACCATACAATTATAAATAATATGATTGACTATATTCTTTATACTATGCTTTATATTCCCCATTGGTAGGTTTTGTAACTGCCAATTTGTACTTTTTAATCCCTTCCCCTCCTTCACCCACACCCTTATTCCCCTTCCCATCCGGTACTCCTCAAAATGTTTTCTGCGTCTATGAGTTTGTTTCCGTTTTTTTGTTTCTTAGATTCCACATGTAAATGAATCATTTGTCTTTGACTGACTCAGCACAATACCCTCTAGGTCCAGCCATGCTGTCGCAGATGGCAAGATTGCATCTTTTTTTTTTTTTTTATGGCTGAGTAGCAGTCCATTGTATATATGTACCACCTCTTCCTTATCCATTTATCAATTGGTGGACACCCAGGTTGCCTCCATATCTTGGCTACTGTAAATAATGCTGCAGTGAACATATGGATGATCATGTCCCTTCAAAGTAATATTTAGGTTTCTTTGGATAAATACCCAGAAGTGGGATTACTGGGTCCTTCTTTGTCTCTCATATAGCCTTTGTTTTAAAGTCTGTTTTGTCTGGTATACATATTGCTGCCCTTTTTTTTTATTTCCATTTTCATAAAATACCTTTTTCTATCCATTTACTTTCAGTCTCTGTGTGTCTTAATTTTAAGTGAGTCTCTTATAAGCAGCATATATATGTAAGGGTCTTGTTTTCCTATCCATTTAGCCACCTTATCTTTTGATTAAAGCATTTAATTCATTTATATTTAAAGTAATTATTGATAGATACATAGTTATTGCCATTTGATTATTCATATTTTTGATATATATTTTTTTATTCTTCTTAAAGAAGTCCCTCCAACATTTCCTGTAACACTGGCTTGGTGGTGATGAACTCTTAGCTTTTTCTCATCTGAGAAGCTCTTTATCTGTCCTTCAATTCCGAATGATAGCTTTGCTGGATAGACTAATCTTAGTTGCCGGTCTTTGCTTCTCATCACTTTGAATATTTCATGCCAATCCCTTCTGGCCTGCAAAGTTTCTGTTGAGAGATCAGCTGACATTCTTATGGGAGCACCATTGTAGGTAACTAACTGCTTTTCTCTTGTTGTTTTTAAGATTCTGTATTTCACCTTTGGCATTTTAATTATGATGTGTCTTGGTGTAGACCTCTTTGGGTTTATCTTGTTCGGGACTCTGAGCTTCCTGTGTTTGTGTTTATGTCCTTTGCTAGGTTAAGGAAGTTTTCTGTCATTATTTCTTCAAATAGTTGTTAATTTCTTGCTCTCTCTCCCATCTTTCTGCTACCCCTATGATGTAAATGTTTGTACACTTGATGTTGTCCCAGAGTCCCGTAACCTGTATCTTAAATCTCTTCCCAGTGGCTTTTCATCACAACCACCTCTGTTCCTGAAGTGTCTTTAGGATTGAATTTCTCTAAGGGGACAAATGAGGTCAATTCCTTTGGGAAGAGATTAAATCCCAGGGCTCTGGATTTGCAGGTGGGGTCAATGGCAAGCTGCTCTCTGAGTGACATCCCTGTTATAGAAGCCCAGCACTTGGTGAATATGGAACAGCAGCCTGAGGTCCTCAGCTTGTCCCTCCTGGCGTGGAACCGCCACCTCAGGAGCAAGGGTGCTGAGCACCCTAGTATTCTCAGTGTGCTGTAGACCCTGCTCCACGAGTGGGAACTGGGAAGAAGGGGAAACCCCCACTTCTCATCCAGGCTCCCCCAGGACTTGGCCTCAGCAAAGGTAGATGGGGGCAGGGTGAGAAATGCCAATATCCTGCCCTTCCCAGGAAGAAAGCTCACCACTGGCGGCTGGAGAGAGAGGGGGCCCTGTATTCTTGGCACTTAAGTGGTCACCTCACTGAGCTGGGTGGGTTGAGAATGGTCTTTTTTCAAATACCAAGATTCTGCTTTCTTACCAAATTTTGATAGTTTTGCTTGTTTAGATGTTTCTTCATTGGTTGTTTGCCCTTAGGATGATTTCCAGAGGCTTAAATGGTCGTATTTTCATTTTTTGATTAATAATTTTCACAGTTTCACTGAAAGGTGGGACAGTACAGCCCCTTGGATTTCTCTGCTTCTATAGTTATTGCTGTTAGTATAGTTGGGTGTTAGAAATGCTATTCTCAGAAAGTTAAAATGACTAGAGACAAGCCTTTTAAAAATTCGGAAGGAATATAAGAGCAACTGCTTGTCATGAGAGCTGCTAGAATAACAAAATTGGAGAACAAAATGAATGGTAAGTTCCTGGCATAATTTCTTACTAGGTATAAAGACTTGCAAAACAAGTTACTTGGATGACAAAGAAAAGCTATAATGATCGATTCTGAATTTGTCATTTGACTATAGAGAGAGAAGAATTCTGGGAGCAAATGTGTGATTTCCATGCATTCAGGGACCACCACTATACAAGACCCTAAGAATCCAGAACATGTGAAGACATTTACGTTTGACCTGGCATATTGGTCTCACAGTGGATTTCAGATGGATAAAGATGGTGTGTTTATTTCAGCTGATCCTAATAGTAAATTTGCAAGCCAGGTAAATTGCTTTGAAACACAACTTCAATGGAAGGTTTTTTATAATGACGTGTTAACGGTACAACAATAATTTTTTATGCGAGCATGCTACAATACATATTTCCATTTGAGAGTTTGATTTTAAATCAATTCCTTTTTCATGGTAAACATTAGATTCAAAAGTGTACCTATTGCCTAAATAATTTCTTAGGTACTCACATCAGTTGATTTCCCAAAGTACTGACATATTTTGAAAAAGGAGCATTGGTCAATTATATTTTGCATCTCTGAGAAAAGCAAAATAAGCAAAACTTGTGCAGCACTCATCATTTGAGAACTTTTGTTTTATCAAATATTTATCAGATGCCAAGTACTATTCCACTTTAAAGTTGCTCACAGTTTCATATGAGAAGACAGACAAAGAAGGGCATACAAACGTTACGGGTTCTGTGATAAGAATGTGTAGGATACAATGAGGCGTGAAGGACAAGTGGTCATTTCGATCTGGACAGAGCTCATTAAGCTTCTTGGATCTGTGGGTTTATAGTTTGTATCAGATTTGGAGAAATTTCCACCATCATTTCGAGTATTTTTTTGTCCCTCCCCTTCTTTCTTCTGTGACTCCAGTTACATGTATGTGTGAGATTGTCTCACAGGTCACTGAGGCTTTGTTCATTTTCCCCCCAACCTCTTCTGTTCTTGTCTGCCTACTTGTCTTTCAAAACTCAGCCTAAAGATTATAGCCTTTATTAAGGCCCCCCTAAAATACCCTCTGTCAAATAGTTCTGACTTCACAAACTCACTTGAAAGGATCTTATGGACCAACCCCATAATGTACCACCCTGGAGCAATCAATAAAAAAAAATAAAAAAGAAGCATAATAATGAGTCAATTGTGAAGAAATGGAATTATGATGTACTCAATCTAAAACATGGCAGGAAAAGGAGAGGAATAAGAAAATAAATACCAAGATGGTAGACTTAATGCCAGCCATATTATTATAGCAAATGTAAATAAACATGCCAATTAAAAGGCAGAGGTTATCAGATTTGATAGGAAAAGCAGGATCCAACTACATTTATTTACAGAAAACCAATTTAGATGTAAATAGATAACTACCATGTAAATACTAAACAGAGGCAATATGTACATCAAAGTAGACTTCAGAACAAGGGACATTTTGTAATGATAAAGTAATCAATTAATTAAGAAGACATACCATCCTAAATGGGTATGTACCCAATAACAGATTTTCAAAGTACATGAAATAGAAACTGATAGAAATTGAAAGAGAAACAGTCCAACCTACAATTATGATTTATAATTTAATTACTCCTGAGTAATGGATAAAACAAATTTAAAAATCAGTAACATTATAGAATGGCACTATCATCATAATTGACAATTATATTCTAAAACTCTCGTGCTACGCCCACCCAACCACAGCACTACACAGCCTTTTCGAGTGAACATGAAACTTTAGTTATGATCGACTATATTCTGGATAAAAGTAATCTCATCAAATGTAAGATAACTAAAATCATACAAAGTATGTTCTCTGACAACAATGGAAATAAACTAGAAATAACTGAAAGACATTAGGAAAATCCACAAATATTTAGAAAATAACAGACTTCTAAATAATCCATAGGTCAAGGAACAGCCCAAAGGAAAATTAGTAAATATTTTGAATTCAAAAATCAAAACATTCATCAAAATTTGTGTGGTGCGGCTAAAGCATGGCTTAGAGAAATTTTATAGCATTAAATGATTATATTAGAAAAGAACAGTCTCAAATAAACATTCTAGGTTTCTATCTAAGAATTTAGAAAGTTAAACACAAAGTAAACAGAGGAAAAAATAAAGGTTAGAGCATTAATCTAATCTAATTAATTTACATTAATTAATATAAAACAGTAAAATAATAGAGGAAAAAAATCAATGAACCTGAAAACTGGTTCTTTGAAAAGATCGATAAAATTGATAAACCTCTAGCCAAACTGACCAAGGAAAAGGACATATAAAGTCCCAAGATGAGAAATGAAAGAGAGACATTACTGCAGCTCTTACATACATTAAAATATATAAGAGAATGTTATGAACAACTTATTGTCAATAGATTCAACGAGACAGGTAAAATGGACACAAGCTACTTAAGTTTGCACAAAAAGGGATAACACTAGTAACCCTATATCTATGAAAGATATTGAATTTGTATTTATTAAAGGACTCGAATTTATTAAAGAAATTGAATTTACAGTTAAAAACCTCACAAAGAAAACTCCAGGCCCAGATGCCTCTGCTGTGAATTCTGCCAGAGGAAGAAGTCATGAGAACGCTACCGAATAGTCTCGCAGGTGGTAGAAGGAACAGTCGTTTTCTGAGGCCGGTATTATAAGAAAACCCGCCAAAATGTTACGAAAACACTACAAGCAAATATCCTTTATGAACATAGACACGAAAATTATTAACAAGATTTTCACAAATGGAATTCAACAATATATTTAAAAAACAATGCGTCGCTATCAAGTGAGACTTTTCCCGAAGATTGGCCTAACATCTGAATATCAATGTAATTCATCTTATGAACAGAATAAAGGAAGAAAAAAAGTACATGATCAGATGCAAAAAAAGTATCTGACAAAATTCAGCATACAATCATGATGAAAACTCAGCAAACCTGAAATAGGAGAGAGCTTCCTGGAAACAGAAATTCCCTGAAATACACAGGTATTCTCACATTCGATGGAAAAACACTGCATGCTTCCCCCTAAGATTGGGGATAAGGCAAAGAGGTTCAATCTCATCATTTCTACACAACATTTACTGCAGGTCCTAGCCAGGGCATTATGGCAATTAATAGGAAATACGTGGTGTGCAGATTAAAAAGAAGTCACACTATTTGCATATGACGTGATTATCTATGTAAAAAACCCTAAGGAATTGACAGTGATGTAGAATAGCATTTGACAAGATTCATTTATGACAAAAACTCTCAATAAAATGGGTCTAGGAAAGTACCTCAATATGATAAAGGCCATGTAGGATAAACCCTCAGCTAGGTATCAGAGTCACTGATGAAAAACTGAAACCTTTTCCTCTAAGATTAGGAACAAGGCAAGGGTGTTCGCCCTCATCAACATAGTAGTAGAAGTCCTGTCTAAAGCAATCAAGCAAGAAAAAGAAAGAAAAGGTGTCCAAATTGGAAAGGAAGAAGTAGAGCTGTAACTATTTGTGTATGGCATGATTTTACATATAGAAAACACTAAAGACTCCACGAAAAATATTAGAAATAATAAACAGTAAAGTTACAGAGCACAAAATCAGTATACAGATATCCATTGAGTTTCTATACACTAACAATTAAAAACCAGAAAAATAAAGAAAACAATCCCATTTACAATTGCAACAACCAAATACCCAGGAATAAATTTAACTAAGGGGGTATAAGACCTACACACTGAAAACTATACGACAGTGTTGAAAGAAACTGAAGACACAAAGAAGTGGAAAGATATCCAGTGCTCATGAATTGGAAGAAATCACATTGTTAAAATGTCCAAATTACCTAAAGCTTTCTACAGATTTAATGCAGTCCCTATCAAAATCTCAACAGCATCTAACCATTGTGCTGTCTATCTTAAATTAATATAAAACTAAATAAAATTTTAAAAATCTTAACGGTATTTTTCATAGAAATAGAACAAAAAATTGTAAAATTTGGAGGGAACTGCAAAAGATCCTAAATAGCCAAAGCACCCGAAGGAAAAGAACGAAGCCAGAGGGATTACATTTCTTGAATTCAAATTATACTATAAAGCTAGAGTAACCAAAACAGTATGGTACTGGAAAAATAACAAACAAACAGACAGACAAATACACGAAATAGTATCAGGAGCCTAGAAATAAACCCACACATGTATGGATAACTAATTTACAACAAAGGAGCCAAGAACACACAATGGAGAAAGAAAAGTCTCTTCAATAAGTGATGCTGGGAAAACTGGAAAGCCATATGCAAAAGAATGAAACTAGACTACTATCTTACATCATACACAAAAATTAAGAATGGATTAAAGACTTGAATGTAAGACCCTAAACAATAAAATATGTAGAAGAAAATACAGGTGGTAAGCTCCTTGACATCATTCTTAGTGTTTTTTTGTGGATTCAACTCCAATGGCAAGGGAAACAAAAAAAAATAAATAAAGAAACGAGACGACATCAAACTAAAAAGCTTCTGCACAGCAAAGGAAATTATCAAAGTGAAAAGGCACACCTACTGAATCAGAATAGATATGTGTAAATCACACATTTGATAAGGAGTTGATATTCAAAATATATAAAGAATTCATATATCTCAATAACAAAAAAACAACCCAATTAAAAAATGGGCAAAGGATCTGAATAGATATTTTCCCTAGGAAGACATACAGTCTTCCTTGGCACATGAAAAGATGTTCAACATCACTAATCATTAGAGAAATGCGAATCAAAACCACAGTGAGATATCATGTCACACCTGTTAGAATGGGTATAATTAAAAAGACAAGAAGCAACGAGTGTTGGAGAGGATGTGGGGGAAAGGCACCCTTTTACATATAAATTAGTGCAGCTACTGTGGAAGACAGTATGGAGATTCTTCAAAAAAAAAAAAAATTAAGAAGAGAACTACCATATCATCCAGCTATTCCACTTAGGGATATCTATTTGAATAGTACAAAAACACTAATTCAAAAAGATGTATGCACCCTATGTTCATTGCAGCATTACCTATGATACCAAGAAATGAAAACAGCCTAAGTGTCCATCAACAAATGAATGGATAAAGAAGATGTGAGACAGACACACACACACACACCACCCCCCCTCCAGAATACTACTCAGTCATAAAAAGGTGAAATCCTGCTATCTGAGACAACATGGATGGACCCTAAGATGATTATGCTAAGTAAAATAAGTCAGATGGAAAAAGAAATACTGTATGACATCACTCATATGTGGAACATAAAACAAAACAAACAAAATGCAACACAGAAACTTACAGAGGCAGACAACAGATTGGTGGTTACCAGCAGGGAAGGGGGTCGATTGGGGATAAATGGAAACCAGACTTTTGGTGGTGAACACGATGTAGTCCATACAGATGTCAATTCACAGTGTCGCATACCTGAGACTTACGTAATTTTATAGACTAATGTAACCTCGATAAAAAGTAAATTTTAAAAAGCTACTATTTTTAAAAATTGTGTTTAGCAAGGTCGACGTACAAAAGTCAATAGTATTTTCTATGCTAGCAGGGAACGATTAAAAACTAAAATTTTAAAATATTTACAATAACATCAAAAATGTGAAATACTTTAAGGATAAATTTAACAAAATATGTACAAAAGCTGCATGCTATAAAACATTCCTGAAAGGAAGACTTAAATCGGAAGACTCAATATTATTAAAAAGTCAAATTGATTAATAGATTCAAAGCAATCCTAATCAAAAACCCAGCAGTAATATCCTGTGGAAATTGATACACTACTTCAACAATTTACATAGAATTGTAAAGGATTTAGAATAGCTAAAATTACTTGACAGAGAATAAACTCAAATAACTGAAAACCCACTATGGAACTACAATAATCAAGACAATGTGGTATTGCCTAAAAAAGGAGATATAGATCGATGGAACAGAATAAAGTTATCAAAACTAGATCCTCATACATCTTCAATATATATATTTTTTTTACCAAGGTGCTATAATGAGTTGAATAGTGTTCCCCCCAAATTTATGTCCATGAGAACCTCAGAATGGGAACTTATTTAGAAACAGGATATTTGCAGATGCAATTAGTTAAGATGAGGCCATACTGGATTACAGTGGGCCCCAAATCTACTTCTTGTAAGATGAGGGAAATTTGGCCACAGATACACAGGGAGGCGGCCATGTGATGATGGAGGCAGAGGCTGAGCGCCGAGGACTGCCAGCAGCTGCCAGAAGGTGGGAAAGGCAGAGAAACTATGGCCTTGACAACACCTGGATTTTGGAATTTTAGCCCCAGAACGGCGAGAGAACAATTTTCTGCCATTTTTAGTAACCTCGTCTGTGGTCATTTGTTATGGCGGGCCTAGCAAACTAATACAGATGAGAAGGTTCATCAGAATTGAAGTCGTCCAACAACAAATTGGTATTGGAAGGGGCGATAGCCGTAGAAGAAAATATTTGATAAATGAGATTCACTTTTTAAAAAATATCTTTTGCTCTTTGAGAGATACCAGTGAGAACACGAAAAGGCAAGCCACAAAAAATGAAAATATTTGCAAAACATGTATCTGATAAAACATCCAAAATATATAATGAATCCTTACACCTTAAAAGAGAAAACCAAGTCCATTGTTTTTTAAATGGCAAAAGATTTGATCAGAGTCTTCACCAAAGAAGACATGTAAATTACCTAAAACCAATGAAAATGTGTCCAACTTCATTAGGGAAATGAAAGTTAAGAAATGCAAATGAGAATACCACCATGACGGTACCATGCTCGCTTCGGCAGCACATGTACTAAAATTGGAACGATACAGAGAAGATAAGCATGGGTGCACAAGGGTGACACGCAAATTTGTGAAGCGTGTTGTGTTTTTACAAATTGGCAGATACGAAATAGTCATGGGAATGTAAAGTACAGCATAGGGAATGTCGTCAATAATATTGTAATAACTATGTCTAATTTCGGGGGGATCACTTTGTAAATTATATAAATATCTAACGACTATGCTGTGCACCTGAAACTAATATAAAATAATATTGAATGTCAACTGTAATTGAAAAATCAAAAAAGGGGGTGGAGGGGGAAGTTAAGGGGAGTAAGTTTGAACTTCCAGGTATAAATCAAGTCACGGGGCTGTGGTGCTCAGCATAAGGGATAGAGCCAATAATATTGTGACAGCGCTGCATGTGTCCCATGGTGGCTGGACTTATCATGGTGGCCACTTTAGGTGCGTAAATGTTGAACAACTATGGTGTATGCCTGAAACTAATACAATATTGTATGCTAGCTACATTTTAATAAAAAGTTTTTCTAAAAAAAGAATATTTTAATGACAAGAAATATGATTAGCTGAAGTTATTAAAAGACAGTTGCTAAACATATTAGTAATTCTCTTTTGGTTGAATAATAATAAACTTATATTTGTTCAATCAAAAAAAAAATTTTGTGCATAAAAAAACCCTGACGATATCAAATGCTGACATGCATGTGGATCAACCGGAGCCCTAATATAGCACTTATGGCAAAGCAAAAAGGCTTAGTCATATTGGAAAACAGTTTCTTTAAAATTTAAGGGCACACTTAACCATACAATCCAGCAATGCCAAGGGAAATAAAAATATATATCCTCAAACAACTGTAGGCAAACATCCATAGCACCTTTATATATAATAGTCCCAGACTAGAAACTTAAATGTCCATAATAAAGTTGTGATGTGTTTATAAAATACAATTCAGCAACAAAAGGAACTAATAATGACATGCAACAACCTGGATGCATCTCGAAGCGCTATATTAAGTGAAAGAAGCCATGTACAAAAGACCACACACTGTACGATCCCACTTAACTGAGAACTCCAGAAAAAACAAAACTATAGTTACACGAGGTAAATCTCTGGCAGTGAGGGGCTGACGGTGGGAGGAGAGGTCTGAGGCAAAGCAGCTCAAGGGAACTTTTTGAAATAATTAAAATTTTTAAAAATCTTCATCGTGGTACTCGTCATATGGCCAAGTACATATGTCGAAAGTCATGACACTGTATACTTTAAATGGATAAATTTAATAAATATTAATTTTACTTCAATAAAGATGGAATTTTTCAAAAAGAAAAAAATACCTAAGGAATACATTTAACCAAGGAGGTAAAAGACTTTTATACTGAAAACTATGACACTAGTGAAAGAATTGAAAGGAGACACAAATGTATGGAAAGATATTTTGTGCTCGTGGCTTGGAAGAATTATATTGTTAAAATGCCCATAATATACAAAGCGTTCTAGTAAGTGCTCACTTAACGTTGTTGATAGGTTCTTGGGAATTTCAACTTTTAGATGAAGTGAGGTATATAACAAAACAAATTTTACCAAAGGCTACTTGAAATAAACAAGAGTTAAGTTCCTACAGCATATTTCTGGTCACAGAACCACCACCAAACTTTTAAATTAAGAGTCAAAACACTTTAATATTAAACATTGAAATAAATGTGAGTTATACCTACATTTAGGAAAGATAAATAAAAAGCAATTCATATCATTCTTTTCCAACTCACTGATCCAGTTCAGGGTCACAGGGGACAAGAGACTTACTCAGCAGCTCAGAGAGCAAGGTGGGCCCCCACCCTGGATAAGATGCCCTTCCATCTCAGGGCACACTCACACACACCTACACTCACTCAGACTGGGACAATGCAGACATGCCAATTCACCTCTCATGCACGTCTTTGGGATGGGGGAGGAAACCCACACAAACACAAAGAGAATGTGCAAGCTCCACACAGGGCGGCTCCCACCTAGAATCAATTTTTTCTCATCAATATTATAACAAAATGACAGTGAATAAAGCAACATTATTTGAGGACCTGTTGTATATAGATTCAATGCAATCCCTATCAAAATTCCAATGGCATTTTTTTTGCAGAAACAGTCCTAAGACTTGTTTGGAACCACAAAAAACTCTGAATAGCAGAAGCAATCTTGAGAAAGAAGAAGAAAGCTGGAGGCATCATGCTTCCTGCTTTCAAACTATATTACAAAGCTATAGTCATCAAAACAGTATATCACTGGCATAAAAATGAACACATTGATCAAGGGAACAGAATAGAGCCTCAAAAGAAACCCGTGCATGTGTGGTCAATTAACCTACAACGAAGAAGCCAAAAATTTATAAGGGGAAAGGATAGTCTTTAATAAAAGGTTGAGAAAACCGGACAACCACATGCAGAAGAATGAAACTGGACCCCTACCTTACACCACTCACAAAAATTAACTCGAAATGGATTAAAGACTTGAACATAAGACCTGAAGCCATAAGACTCCTAGAAGAAAACAGGAGGTAAGTTAATAGACATCAGCCTTGACAACAATGATTTAGCTTTGAGACCAAAAGCAAAAATAAGTGAGACTTCATTAAATCAAAAAGATTATGTACATAAAGGAAGCTATCAGCAAAATGAAAAGGCAACGTATTGAATGAGAGAAAGTATTTGCAAACCATATATCTGAGAAGGGGTTAATATCCAAAATACATAAAGAACTCATACAATTCAATAGCAAAAATCCCAAATATTCCAATTAAAAAACGAGCAGAGGAACGGAATAGACATTTTTCCAAAGAAGACATACGAATAGGTGACAGGTACACAAAAAAGGTTCTCGACATCACTAATCAGGAAAATGCAAGTCAATGAGATATCACCTCGCACCTGTTAGAATGACTATCAGCAAAAAGATAAGAAATAAGTTTTGGCGCAGATATAGAGACAAGGGACCCTTATGTACCATGGGTGGGAATGTCACCTGGTGCAGCCACTATGGAAAACAGTCTGGAGGGTCCTCAAAAAATTAAAAATAGAAACACCATATGATTCAGCAATTCCACTGGATATTTATCCAAAGAAAATGAAATCACTATCTTGAAAAGATACCTGCACTCCTTTGTTTACTGCAGCATTATTTACAATAGCCAAGATATGGAAGCAACCTAAGTGTCCATTGATGGATGAATGGATGAAGAAGATGTGATATTATTCACCATACAAAAGAAGAAAATTCTGCCATTCGCAACAATATGGATGGACTGAGGGCATTATGCTAAGTGAAATCAGTCAGACAAATACTGTATATACCCATTTATATGTGGAAGAATAAAACCCCTGAACTCATATAGAGAAATGGGTGGATGGTTGTCAGAGATGGGTTTTGCAGGGTGGGGAAAATGGGTAAAAGTGATCAAAAGGTACAAACTTCCAGTTGGGGACATGACGTGCAGCACGGTGACTGTAGTCAATAATACCTCATCGTGTATTTGAAAGTTGTTAAGGGAGATTTTAAAAGCTATCATCACAAGAAAAAAATTACGTGAGGTGATGGATGTTAACTAAACTTATCCTGGTAATCATTTTATCATGTGTACAAATATGAACTTGTTACGTTGTACATCTGAAACATATAACATATAATATGTTATATGTCAACTATATTTCAATTTTTTAAAAGATAGTTTTAAAGACTAAGAGTGGTGCTGTAAAGAAACCCAATTAACTTTGTCAATGAGGATGACCACCTGTTTTTTAACCTCCTATTCAGATAAAGCAGAATTATTGTTTCACGTATATAATGGAGGAAAGTGTTTCATAGAGTTGATTATGAGATGGTGAGTAGGAAGAAATAAGAAATGACTTCTTGGCATATATTAACATAAGCCAAATATACAAATAGCTGATACACAAAAGATTCAATGGAAAACTATACAGCTAACAAAATTTATAGAACAATTCTATTCTCTACGATTTTATTTTAAAAAACTCTTACTTGTTTGAAGTCTCCAATTCACAAAAATTAACAATGAAAAAGTTTTCCCAAATCTCCAAATAGTGCAGAAAAGAGACAGCAAAACTGGTTACTTTTCTAAGCTTAGTAAGCACCCCCTAGGTTTAACAGCTCCTAAGGTAGATACCTGTTATATACTTTTTTTTTTTTTTTCCTAGTAAACACATAGTCACAACGTCCTGAGAAAACTCTGGTCAAATTCCACATTTAGGCTTGGATCTTCCCTCACCCTTTAGTGTAATAATTTTTATTTCTTTCTCATAAGAAATGAATAGTATAAAAAATTGGTTGTGGCCTATGGTCCTTATATAAAGCATGTCATGTTGGTATGTGCATCTTTTCCAGAAATAAAAATTACATAAATTATACAAATGTACACATTGCAACAAACGGAGTATGTAATGCTTACTATTTTATTGATATTAGAAAGAATGTACTCTTTGAAGCGGCCTCAAATAAGAGAATTAGTGCTGGTCATGATCTAGATAATAAGAGGCCACGTCCTCTCTTTCAAGCCATTATGGGCACAAGCACCTGTGTCTCCTACTTAAAAAAAAAAGAGGTGCGTGCGTGCGTGTTGGAGAAATACTTCAGAACCCCTAGGTCTTGCGAAAAAAGAGAAGATTCTCCAGCAGATGGCTAAAATTAATGTGGGAATTTTGTGATGTTAGTCTTTGGATTAAAGAATAAAGTAAAACACTTTGGTCTCTGTCCCTTGGTGCCTTGAAATTTTTGTCTAAATGCTGAATTTTCAAGACCTAGCCCGCGTTCTGGCAAGGCTGTAAAATACACAAATTCATGATCGATGGACACCAGCCAGCTGGAGATCCAGTGTTTTCCAAACTGACAAATCCCACTGGTTCTAAGGTGGCCTCTGTGTCATATTTTAAGCAGGTCATACGCTGCTAATTGCATGTGGAATTCATTAAACCAGAACATTTAGTAGATTTTAAGGGTGTTGCGGAAAGCCTGTGCCAAACGTGATGCCTGCAACCTTTTTCCAGAGCGACGTTTTCCACGACCTCGGCAGGGCAGTGCTGGACAGTGCCTGGCAAGGCTACAACGCCACTCTGCTGGCCTATGGCCAAACTGGCTCTGGGAAAAGCTATTCCATGATGGGGTCTGGTGCCAACAAGGGCCTTGTTCCCAGGGTGTGTGAAGAGCTCTTTCAAGCAACTGAGACTCAGGAGAGAAATCAAGAACATCAGGTATGGATTATTCTAAGAAACCTTTTTAAAGGATTTTTCCCCCATTATTTTGGAAATCTCTCGTCTCAAATGGAAGTTATCGGCATCTCTATTTTAGGATAACGTTAATTTTCCATACCAAGATCCTTATTACGTGATTACAAAATCGAGTTGCCACTAAATAAAAGGTTGAATTTTTCTGCTTCTGTGGAGACACCTTTAAAAGGCACCTTGAGTGTCATAGAAGCGGACGTCTTTGGTGTCAACACTAACAAGGTATGACCGTTGATGCTTATGTAATAAAACCTCAGCTGACTCAGGTCTATGGTTTCTCTTGCTCCCCTTCTTCTACCAAGGTTGTGGGTGTGTTCTCATCTTAATTTATTGATTTTTATGTCTAAACAAAGAATACTATTTTGTTTCTTAATTGTCACAGCATAGTTTCCCACTTGTCCTGTCCTGGAAGGCCCGAGACTGAATTTTAGATTCATTTGAAGGTTGGTGACATTTTCACGGTGAAGAGTAACCATTAACGTAATTAGCTTTAAGGCAGTAAAATGTCAGCCAACATCTCGAAGCACAGTCTATGTTTCTGCTTCCTCTAAATGGCGAGTTTAAATTTGTATTATGGAAATTCAATAATGGACCATCTTTTTTATCTGAATTTTCCCCCCATTTTAAAAGGAATGTGTTCAAGTTAGAAAATAGAAATTACTCATAATTTTATCAGCCAACTAAATACTATTAACATTTCAGTATTTTTCTAATTTTTTAATTAAAAATTGTTTCAAAGTCATTACATGAATAGTTTAAAAATTCAAATGTCCAAGAGAAAAAAATGCCTATGTCCACAAAAAAACTCATGCGCGAATATTCCACAGCAACACATTCACTGTGGCCAAAAGTGGAAACAACCCAAATGTCCATAGAGTGATAAATGGATGAGTGAAACATGGCGTATCCATACAATGGATTATTTAGCAGTAAAAAGAGACAAAGCATCTGTTACGCGCTACAGTGTTGATGAACTTTGAAAACATTATGCTAAGAGAAAGAAGCCGGACGCAAAAATCATATATTGTTCGATTCCATTTGTATGAAATGGCCCAAACAGGAAATCCATAGACAGAAAAGTAGATTAGTTATTGCCCAGGGCTAGGGCTGGGGGGTGCGGATGAGGGGAGGAGGTAGAGATTGAGGAGTGGATGCTAATGGGTTTCCTTTCACGGGAACAAAATCTTCTAAATTTGGGTTGTGGTGACCGCTGCAGGGCTCTGTGAGTATACTAAAGACCACAGGACTGCACACTTTAAAGGAGTGAGCTGCGTGCAATGGGAATGATCTCTCAATAAGGCTGTTTTAAAATGATACTAGAAAGGTTTATAATGGAAACCAACCGTCTCTGCCTGTCCCTGCTCCTCCCTCACTGACCCCCACAGGTTTTCGACTTCAGCTTGTTAGCTGTTTGCCCTAGTCTCTCTCTCCATATTTTAAAACGTTGGTTTTTCTCTTCTTAGAAAGCGGTGTTAGACATCATCTACTATCCTCCCACCATGGCGGAAGAGAACCTAACTGTCACACCAGCACCCCCCACCACAACACTTCTCCGCCCCACACACCCCTGCATTAGTATAAGATTTGGCTAAATCTGTAGTGCTTAACATTTTAGCAGTGGAAATATTG